GCTACTCCCCCCAACACACACACACCCTGCTGCTCCCCCCAACACACACACACACACTGTGCTACTCCCCCCCAACACATACACACACACACATATACACACACAAGCTGCAAGCCAGAGGTTTCCTTTCTGCCACTGAGAGATGTGGAGTTTCCCTGTACTTACTGCAGGTTTAAGACCAAACATCTTTAGGAAACTTCAGGGGGTAGCCGAGTTAGTCTGTACAGGATAAACTTAAAAAACAACAAATGGTCTGGTAGCACTTTATAGACTAACAAAACATGTAGATGGGATCATGAGCTTTCGTGGGCACAGCCCACTTCTTCAGATGACTGGAGATTTTCCCAGTCATCCAGTGGGCTATAGGAAAAACTATTTCACTAGGAGGGTGGCAAAGCACTGGGATGGGTTACCTAGGGAAGTAGTGGAGTCTCCATCCCTAGAGGTGTTTAAGTTCCGGCTTGACAAAGCCCTGGCCGGGTTGATTTAGATGGGATTGGTCCTGCCTAGTGCAGGGGGCTGGACTTGATGACCTTCTGATGTCTCTTCCAGTTCTATGATTCTATGATAAGGGGATGGTTTGATGAGATACCATGATCTTGGTAACTAATTGACCATTCATTATCAGTGGGAAATAGGTCAATGGAGGGATGATAGGAGTTACTATAGAGAACTTCCTGGGTGTCTGGCTGGTGAGTCTTGCCCACATGCTCAGGGTTTAGCTGATCGCCATATTTGGGGTCGGGAAGGAATTTTCCTCCAGGGTAGATTGGCAGAGGCCCTGGAGGTTTTTCGCCTTCCGCTGTAGCATGGGGCACAGATCACAGCTGGAGGATTCTCTGCATCTTGGGGCCTTCAAAGTATTTGAAGGCTTCAATATCTGAGACATAGGTGAGAGGATTATTCTAAGAGGGGTGGGTGAGATTCTGTGGCCTGCACTGTGCAGGAGGTCATACTAGATGATCATAATGGTCCCTTCTGACCTTAAAGTCTATGAGTCTATGAGTATGAGTATAAAGTGCTACCAGACTATTTGTTTTTTTTCTAAGTTTATCTTTAGTAAAGGGGGCTTTAGTCTTAGCTTCCCAGTGGCACACACACTTGCATCTCTCCCGACAAACCTTGCAATGCTGGTTGTTCCCATTATATTTCTATAGATGGAAAGATGTTTTATGCCATTGTAGATGTTTCTACAGCTGTATCACTTATGATTTTCTCTCCTACGGAAGCCTCTAGCATTTGGATTCACGCTGCTAAGGAAGTCTGGCTTTACAGGACAGAATACCTAAAAATAATTCCCCGGAAGTATTTAAAACACCTTTACAATAGTGTGACTGTACAGTAGGTGTCTTGGGCAAAGTACATGATGATGTGGTGCTGAATGAAGGTTTTATTGGCATGAGTCATACAGGGCTCCCACACAAATGCCAATAAAACTGTCATATAAAAGGTAGGTAGGTGTGTGCGGCCGTGTTATAGGATATGTGGCTAGTGACTTCTGTATCGAGGTCGTCTAGCATTTTCCATTATAACCCATTATTATCAATTGCTTATAACAGTTACTGGCTGAAATATTTCATATTGGCTGAGTTTCCCCCAAGCTGCATAGCTCTGCGGCTGTTAAGCCCTGTGTAGGGTTGCACTGGGGTCAGTGCCGGGGAAAGCCCAAGGAGCAGCCCAGGTAAGCTGAGCTCCAACCCCCTACCGCACCTTGAGCACTCTTCTACACCCCAAAGCCCACACTGCCAGCCCAGAGCCTGTACCCCCTCTTCCAGCCCAGCCCAGAGCCTGCACTTCAACTCACAGCTCAGAGCCTGTATCCCCTCCTGCACACCAACCCCAGCCCAGAGCACTTCCTCAAAGCTGGAGCCCCCTCCTGCGCTCCAGACCCCTCATCCCCAGCTCCACCCCCAGAGTTTGCATGCCCAGCTGAAGGCCTGGCTTCTCAACCCCACTCTAGAGCCCTCACCCCTAGCCAGAGCGCTCTCACTCCTGCACCTCTGCCCCAGCCCTGAGCCCTCCTGCACTCACAGTCCCTCAGCCCACGCCCGCCACATGAATGAAGGTGATAGGATGCACATCCCTTCCAGTCCACATTGGTGCGCATAAGGGGTGGTAATAATTAGAGGAAACACTGCACACTGGTGTGATGGGGTGTTTGCCCCACTAGCCCTGGAAGGGTTATGATAGGCAGGAGAGGCCAGTTAGCCATAGGCTGCACCAGGAGGGGAGCAAGGATCCAATGGCTATGTCTACTCAGCAAAGAAAAACCTATGGCCAGCCTGTGCCACCTGGCTGCTGCAGGCTCCCAATTTTCTCCCAGGTTCCAGCCCAAGCCCAGAGGTCTACCCAACAGTGCTAATCAATCCCGCAGCCTGAATCCCGCCAGCTTGAATGGGCTGGCATAGGCCTGCTGGGGCCAACATACATGTACTCAGCGAGGCTTAGCTGGGGATGAAACAAGTGGGGCTTGTATAAAGCTGTAAGTTGGCAATGGAAGGAGAAGGGCTTGCAATTAGAGAGCTTGCAGTCGCACATCCTGCTACGAGGGGGCAGAGTAGGTGCCTATGATAGGCAGTGTAGGGTGGGGAGAGGAAAGATTTGAGCTGCTGGGTCAAGGATCCTTGGACCAGAACCTGGCGAAGAGGGTGAGCCTGAGTTCCCCTACTAACCACTGCAGCAGTGGCTTGTGCGGGGCAGCCCATCTGAAGATGGCCAGGAGCAATTTGGAAGGAGGCTTGGATAATACTGTGGAAGAGGGGGAGCTTCGATGTGACTTAGCCAGAGAACTAAGCTGCTAAGAGGAAAGTGCTTCAGCTCCGGGAGCATGTGGCAGGATAAGGAGTGAGTGAGTAGGATGAGGGGCTGAGCAATTGCAGGAACAGGTGTCAGACCACGTGGCAAGGTAATCTCCAGATGGGCCATGAGGAGGCACTTGAGCCCTTAAGAGCATGCCTCACCATAGCTGGGTACTGGCCTCTGGCTGAATTTTTATTCAGCGCGTTGGTGAAAATTAAATTAACACTTTTTTAGAGAGAGACAAGTTTTTAAAAAAAAGGTAGATTTGTTATTTTAAAAATTCCCCCAGGCTGTGTCTTTGAAGTGGCTCAAGGGTTTCAAGCTAGGATTTGAATTTGACAGGTCCTTGTGGTCAGAAATTTGACTTAAGTTATTAGCTACAGCATTTGTATCTGGCCTTTTTCTAAAATATTGCTCACCGTGTGTTTGTGGTAAAGTTGTCCTTCGGCAGCAGAGTTTTTCCCACTGTTGATTTTAAGATTCCTTGCTTGATATCACTGTTTTAAATAAACTTTTTTTTTTCCCAGCAAATTGGTATAAAATCCTAACAATCAAAACCACAAACTTGAAAACTTGTTTTATGTAAAATGGAATGTTTCACTTCGTTCTAAGTTGCTTCTATCAGACCGAAAGTGACAATTACTACATATAATGCCAGCTATTTAGCTTTAACTTTTATTAGGTGTTCATATGCAGCAAATCATAGCTTTTAGTGGAAGGAGAAGTCCCATTCTGATAGCTACTCAGAATGGTAATTTAATCATAAAATACCATAACACTTATAAGAAATTAATAAGCCAAAAGTACTGTCTGAAAATAACATCACCACTGTGCTCAGTTGGCCTGGGGCAAAGCTTTATTGGCCATAAAAATACATCTTTGTTTAAAAAATAAATAATTTCAAATCATTGTTTTATAGCCAGTCATTTCCTAGTCAAAATGGAGGTGGCTAGTTTATAAGCTGAAAGCAGTGATCTCCTGCAATGTCCTTGCTGTACAATAGAGTACATTTGGGAGGCACTTTGAGCTCCTTGAATGGAAGGTACTGTGAGTGTAAAACATTTTTTTTAATACTACACCACCCTAATTGCACATGAGAGTCGCTGCATAGGCAGCAGCACACCTGGGGAGCATGGGGAATTGCACTGTCGTTTGACTGCCATGGGTGACAAAAGGTGAAGACACTGGACCATAAGTCCCTTATTTCTACACAATCTGTGAAACGTGCCATTGTCGGGATAAGAGGCATACAGCTGGGTCATCCTATGTTTTGACATGGAACAGGTTTGAAGGTGGTTTCAGTGTTTTCCAGCAATACAAGGTCATACCTGCACAGCTGTGGTCTGCATAAAGAGAACAAACAAGAAGAGTCATTGATAGAAAAAAACGAGTAGTCCTGTAGTACCTTCGAGCGGAGGTGGGGAACCTTTTTGAGATTAGGGGCCACTGACTCACAGAAAAATCAGTCGAGGGCTGCACAAAAGTGAGAAGCCCCTGACTGAGAAGGAAAAAGACACTTCTCACATTCCCCTTGCACACACCAGAGCCCCAGGGTGGGCCCAGGCTGGTAGATTTTGTATGCTCCAGCTGGGGGGCTAGAGTGACAGCATGGGCTCCCCAAAGTGTGTGTGTGTGTGGGGGGGGAATCGCTGAGCCTCAGAGGCTGGATATAGGCAAGCCGGGGGCTGCATCTGGGCCCAAGGTTCTCCACACCTGCCTTAGAGACTAACAACAAGTTTTACTCTTTTCTTCATTCACGTGTCAACTTACAGCCCGTTAGGGACTTCTATAGAAGGAGTTGTCCATAATATGTGCAAGAGGAAAAGGAGCTGCTAGGTGAGGTGGGGTAGCTTCCTCCCTATGCTGTAGAGAGCAGGACTATTTAAACCAGATGTTGTATGATTTTTTTTTCTGCAGCGGAAAAGTCTCTTGCCTGCCTTCATGATAAAAGAAAGTGATAGCAGCAGATTGACCCCGGTCTGCATGGACTTCATCATCTGGGAAAGTCTTCTCTAGGCAGAAAGTAGCCATTTCCTAGGTGAAAGCTGAGGTGAGAGGCTCATGGTAAACAGGGTACCTCAAAGGACTAGATATGGATTTGAAAAGCAGAGCGTGACGAGATCTGAGACACTCAAGTGAAGCGGTATCACGGGCAGCGTGGAAAGAGAACGTTGTAGAGAAGAGACCTGGCTCATTAAACACAGAATAAATCTTCCTTTTATTATTCTGTAGCTAAGCCCAAAGTGTCTGAACTAACAGAATTTATGAGAAATCTAAACATGTCTTTCATTCCTTTTATTTTACTGCCATTTTCTCTCTACTATTAATAAGCCTTGTTTTTAACACAAGTAGATGATCCAGTGCTTCTTGCCCAGGAAATTTCACACAGACTGTCCCAAAGACAAAACCCCTCTGCCTCTCAAAGATGTGCCAAGGGGCATCTTGAGGCTTCAGCTTGCTCAGAAATCATGTTCAGTCAGAAGATGTATCTATCACAGTCAGACAAGGGAGAAACCTACTGACCAAGGAGTCGCCACAAGCCAACGGAGGGAAAAGTGAGTCATTAAAAGATTTCTTGCATGCACATTTTGCAGCAGATGCAGACCGATACACTCTGCATGGGGCACGGTTATATAACCAGCACTAACAGTTCCCTTTCAGTGATAGCGTAGAGCAGGGCTACTCAACACATGGCCTGTTTGTTTGCAGCCCGTGGTGCAGTTTGGGTTTACATGGGGCTCAATGCGCAGCCTGCGGGTGGGAACCAGAACAAAAAAGTAGGCAGTATAGTGGTCTTCTGTTGAGATGCATTTTAGTAGTTAAATTCCTGGACTGTCATTGTTCATTATAAAAGTGCCGTCATATGGGTGAAAATTGGGTAAATATTGCATTTTATTAATAGCAGAATTGACTTAAATGGGGCCTGTATGTTGTGTAGTCTCGCCTTAATCTTTATTCATGCCCGTGAAGGAAGCTATTTGCATATATATTTGCATGTATATGCAACCACACTTAAGTTGTGGCCCTCAGCATGTGCAGAGAGTATCATTGTGGCCCCCGGAGCTTCCACAGTTGAGTAGCCCTGGCCTAGAGTGCTAACTTTTTTCTCTTTCATTTGGAATATAAGAGAACTGCAGAAGCTGTGTGGCAGCTATTGACAATGCGGGTTTACCAGTTCCGGGGTACATTAACTGCATCTTTGTATTTATTTGTCAGATTTATTTTCAGTTTTAAATCTTAGGCAACATCCTTGTAACTGCATAAAGGGCCTGTACTTCTTTCCCACACCCTTCTTTAAATCTTTTAATCAAAAGGAGTTTTGATTGAATAGAAATTGCACATTCAGTCATACAGACCCAAATTACACATTTCAGTGAAAACAAATCAATTTCTGTTCTCAGGATGCAAAATTATCTGTGACTACAGTGGGAGTTGCATGCATGGAATTAAGGGCAAAATTGTCCCTCAAAATATACATGCAATAATTTTTAATCCCCCTGAAACCTTTAAAAGCATTTAAATTGCAAGTATGGAGATTGTTAGTAATCTAAACTTAATCCACTTACCTTTCTGGATTTGTAATTGACCGTAACTTCATTTGGAGGATCCTGAGTTTGTGCTTTGGGCCTACTACATTCCCCGTGGAAAATGCCAAGGAAATTCTTGCAATATTTTCAAAATCCTGGTCAAATCCAGCTAACAAACTAGCTTGGCTGTACGGTTGGAAAGTTGCAACTTCGCTAAGCAGAAAGCAGACAATTTAGAACATACTCACTAAAAAGCAAATCACACTTTGATTAAATTCTGTGTAATATATATTCATAAGGGTGGCTAGGGAGA